CATTTAGAGAGATTAACTAATTGATTTTATAATAACAAAGCGCATCATTCCACCATTCAAAGACAACTGTCATCAGTCATTCTATCGTCGTCTTGACATCTATAATGCGATGCACATTCAGCCAGTACTCAAAATTATTAGTTGCCAGTTACTTTAATCGTTTAAAAAGTATAAATAATAGCTTTTATGAAACATGACTCGATTTTGAGTTATGCAACTAAACAATTGAGATACGAAACAATCGACAATCGAACAACTGTCGTGTGATTCTCGATTGTCGATTGTCGATTGTTTCGCAACCAACTGTTTAGTTGCACAACTGAAAATCTAGTATTATAAGCTGATAGGAATTAAAGCGAGAATAGTTGAAATATTTTGTATATATATAGTAAAATATCAAACGTAATTGATAACGTAAAAACAATAAAACTAAGGGCCTGTCTCACCACTTAAAAATGACATCACTGTGAGATAAGACAACAAAATCCTATATTTCAATTGGATTGTTATCAGACAATTTACAATTTGGTGGGACAGGCACTTAATCAACCAAATCTACCAATCATTTTAGACAGAAAAATGGACAACAATGCTATCCCATTTTCCATCCATTCTATAACACTTAAATTTTACCTTGTATATGAAATTAACCATACTTACCACAATATCATACTGATGTTGGTGTCCAGGCCAGTCTTTCTCCTCCCTCAGGATGTCCCGCCACTTGTCCTGTATCCTGCGCATCTCGCGCTCCGAGATGTCATCTTCCCTGCCGATCACGATCTCCGCCTCCTCCCCTGGCGAGGTGGGGGAGGGGAGGTGACGGATCTCTGACTCCGCCTCTGCTTCAATCACCGTTGATTCATCGTACTGTAATCATGTTGTTTTATATTACAAAATACTAATTTAATGCTATGTTCCTACGGTTTTCATTAATTTTATCATTACCTACTTCTTTAGTGTTAGGTTAGGTTAGGTTACAATGCAGCAAAATTCCAGTTACATAGTTCGGACAGGCATTTCATAAATTTATCTAACTAAAACCATGGTTAAATATAGCTAAGAAACCGGCCATAAGTACATAAGTGCAGTAAATGATAAGGTATGCATAGTCTACAATTTTTGTAAATGTGTATCAAATTGTAGATACATTTTTGTTTCAATAATTGGCTGCTAAAGATTTTTTAAAACGCCACACCTATTAAAAAGCTTCAGTTAAGTAAGTTTTACTTTCTATAATTAACAAGAGACAACGAAGAAACCAAAGGGATCGAAATCTAACATAAGTTAGATGTGTAACTCACCACACTAAAACTATATTTGGCAAGCGATGTGACGGAAGGGCTGGGAGGTGCGACAGGCGAGCGGCGGCCATCTTGTGCCGCGAGCGCCTTCTGTAGCCTCTCAAACCCCGCGCCGCGAAGATATCTGCAAGTACCAATATACAGCAAAAATCAAGTACTTATGTGTGTTTAATGGAATACATTAATTACGAACTGTCGACCGTAAACTTCGTTAGCTTGGAATTAAAAAGTCGCCTATAATATGCCCGTATTTATCAACTACCCTCCAGAAGAAGCCCCGTCAAAATAAGCCCAGTTGTATTTAAGATTACCCAGAACAAATGTAGCTTGCGGGCAGACAGACAAAAGATATGGAAACTAGACTGTCGTTTCATCTTCTCGAAATGTGGATTTTTTCGATATGATATACACACTCCTATTTTATTAATCGTAAAGATACAGGATAGGTACAGATTTAAAAGATCAACAAATAAAAGTAAAAATTTTCGAGAGCTTTTTCTTTACCTTAAAGCTTTTAACCGCACGATGGGTCCTTTAGCGTCGCGTAGCAACGACACGGCTTTGTGGTTAGTTACGCCGTGTAGTGACACACCGTCCACCTGAACAACAGATCTACGTATTAACGCTACTTTGCTACGCAGTTCGTAGCAAGGCTACATGATATCTTTCGTAGTGTTAGCGCGACTGCACACTTTTGACTAAACTATCGCATAACTGTTTAGTCTCGTTTTGATTCCTACAAACTTATATGGAGGTGCGCACATTTGAATTTTAGTTGTACAACGAAACAGTTGAATTGGCTGCGAAACAATCGACAATGATTGTGCGATAGTTTAATCAAAACCCGCTCTTGAAGTTATTGTACAGTCAGCTGTTAAAAAATGTACACGTTATAAGGACTTTAGAAATTTTTATACGCTTTTGGCTTTAGAAATTTGTCTTAAAATGTATGCTTTGACCTCGAATTCCTGCGGATTTTAAAAACCATAGATCTGAACAAGAACAATTATATTTATACAGCTGACTGTACAAATTAAATTCAATTAGAACTAGATGTAAATATAAATACTTTACATTTTCAAAACAAGTAAAAGCTGTGGAAAATGTTGCCAACAATTTTTAATACACATTTGTATACAACTAGATTCCATATACGCAGAAAAGTTGGCAGAAAAATTCTCTTAGTAGTTACGCTCGGCATTTAGCAGTGTGTACACAGTCGAGGACGCTTATTTCCTACCCATATCGATTAATTCATCATTAAACGCCCATACATCGAAAAGCAAAGCAAAATACGTGATAAATTACAGCGCTTATGAAAACTGTTATGCGATATTCGAATCTAAGTGAGCAGTAAATTAAATTCTTTGACTTGTGCAGACAAAGCGCAGGTGAAAACGTTTATTACGAATTCCTAGGAAAGTCCACTTTAATACACTCGACGTTTAAAATTGCGCGTCCCGAGTGCAACTACTTTTGGCTACAAATGTAGTAAAAATGACGCAATTTCATTACTCATAGAATTTACAAAACTATTTCTTTAAAATGTGGAAAACTAAATGCACTTTTCTGTATCTGATATTATAAAGAGGATAGATTTATATGGATTTTTGTATGTAATAACTCAAAAACTATTGGTCCGATTTCAAAAATTCTTGCACCAATAAAAAGCTATGTTATCACTTAATAATATAGGCTATATTTTTCCTTTTTTTTTATTTTCACGCGGGCGATGACGCGAGCAACAACTAGTCATATATATTGACACTACACAAAGCTAAAATATCTAATCCGATTCATCGTCAACTTGCCCTTGTAATGACAAAGGTCGACACAGTATGTGCTCTTCCATACATCTCTATCAGCCGTCTTATCTGAATTCACTCACTTAAGCAAATCTTCTTTCACACAATCCAAGCATACTTCGGTCATCAACTTTGTAGCCAGTAACGTTCTTAATAATAATAATAATAATAATAATAATAAGTCATTTAATCCATTCAGAAGGCAAACATCATACACTTAATTACACAGTTGACAAAAATAATGACGGAGGTATTCTTAATACTTTCTTGTTTATGTCTACCAGAAACCCCTTAAGAACAGCTACACTGAATTGCAAAAATATTCCTCGCTTTTCCTTTAAAAATACAAAACAAAGGGGGATCGCAGACAGAAGCATTATTAAAACATTTTGTCCAGTTGTAATTTGTCTGCACGCCAGCGCATTGTACTGAAGGGTTGCGCTCATTTCGAATTCACAGCGCCGTGAATGTCTGCCTTTATGTTTTTGTTAATAAATATTCTGCTCTTTATTGTTGATATATGACAATGCGAATTGTACGAATGCTTAAAAGAAAAAAAACTACATAATCTATGTTATTTTAGAGCTGTCCTCTACATCTGTGCCAAACTATGATATTTTATCGAGATCCATTCAGCAGTTTAGGCTACCTTTAATAAACCACACAAAATTCTTAAAATTATCAGATAACAATCCTACGTGTGAAATAGTGATTGAAGAACCAGATTTTGGTACTCTATCTGACAGTGACGTCACTTTTAAGCTATATGAGCCTCTATCAGCCAGTAGTGGGACAGGCCCTTAAGTCGCACTTAAAGTGATTAAGGGCCAACATTAGTTTATATTTAAGGTCAAAGTACACTTAAGGGACTCTTTAAGTAATAATTTAACTACTCTTTGTTCTCAGGAAGACTGCTTAGAATTTTCACAACAGTCATAAATCTTTATCGGTTATCTTCATACCTTTAGATAAGGAGACGTTAATCTATACTTTTATACTATAATAAAGCGTAAACACACACTTCTTTGTTGCCTAAGATGTCAGCAATTACAGCATATTTTTGAATATTTCTTTCTTTTATAAAAAGCCATACACTTACGTCACGCTTTAGGCTATATATTTTCACGCCATTAAACTTAGGGTGCATATTTTGGATGAAAACCGTAACGTAGGAAAGAGACCATAAGTTGCTGCCAACATCAAGGAAGCAAGATTGCAAAGTTTTAACATGTCATTTTGACATTTGCAATTGACAATTAGACATATGTAAACAATAAAATATTTTTTATGCTGATAAAATCCCACGGGAACAGCTAGTTATATTATGTTTTACAAGCTAAATCGTTACTTTAAATACATATAGACATAATAAAAAAAACTCACAAAAATAAAACTATAACATGATAGATTAACTTTTATTCTCGAATCATAAATACTTTAAAAAATCTCCAATTTTCTTAATAATCCGTGAATACGAGAAACAGGACGATTTCATTGTACTTTTATAAATAGGTTATCCGTAGCTTAGAGTTCAATTCAACCTTTTTGAGTCGCAGCTCAACGCCCAATTGAGTTGAGTTGACCCTTGACCCAATTGTGAAGTCATTTCCCACTTGAAGCATCATATTTATGTCAACATTGATATTAATCTATTGAATACGCATAAAACATCAATTTCATATAACAAAAAAATTGTTTAATAGTTGATCTACGTCTGAATTCAAAGATAAAGTTGACAGTCAAAATAACTACCAAAGGCCACGAAAGAATTCTCAATTTTTCATTATTGCAAGTAGATGAATTTCTTTTTGTAATATATGGTGTCAAACGAGCAAGCGACCGCCTGAATCCACCGAAATGGAAAGCGAAATTGCAAATGCGTTGCCTACCCTTAATTGACGGAGGAGAAGACGCACGTAAAGTGGACATTTCCCCTTCCTATGCGTCTCCTCCACCGTCAAATCCACTTTACCTTCCTATCCTTTCCTCTTAAAAAAGGTAGGAAAGGGAAAGGGACCAAAATTAGGCCTCCGGCACCACACTTATCAGACGAAACGCGGAATTGCTCCCACTTCACGCCTGTTTTCTGTGTGGTCATGGTATTACACCGGGCGAGCCGGCCCAATCGTGCGAAGATGTTAAAGCGGGCTCTACCACTGTTACCTATTTTACCGTTTGCAACTCCATCCGCTTAGAATTAAGAAAAACAAAAGTGAGTAGCCTATGTGTTCTTCCACACTATCCTCTACATCTATACCAAACTTCATCGAAATCCGATCAGCCGTTTAGGCTACAAATTCAAGCAAACTATCCATCCATCCAAACGTTCGCATTTATAATATTAGCATATATAATATTAGCATATATAATATTATAATATTTCGCATTTTTATTATCATGAAGTATTGTTATAATAAACGAAGTTTTATCATACGATATTTCCAGTTATCAATGCAACTCCACTTCGTAGTCCTTGATTGTGCTCTCCTAACCCAGTTTGTAAGGTCCATCCCATTACCGCCCGGACTACCTCGTATGACCTCGTTTGTTGCGGTAATATTTTATACGCATAAATCGGAATTTTAAAAAGTAAATTATAGTTTTTTTTTTAAATGTGACAATTATTTAAATTAATAATAATAATAAAATTAATGGCTAACTAAAGAGAAGCCAACGGATACGAATGACTAAATGTTGCTCGCGACTTAGTTCGCGTGAAATTAAAAAAAAAGTTCACACTTTTTTTTATTTCCAATATTTTTCAAATTTCAATTTTTTTTATTAAAGACATAGCTTATGTTACCCATTAGTAATGTAATTTTTAATGGTGGAAGTAATTTTGAAATCGGTCCAGTAGTTTTTGAGTTATTTCAATACATACGAAAATCCAAAAATTCAAATTTTTACCCTTTATATTATTAGTGTAGAAATGTGAAGGATATTCGTAAGGGATTGAAATCAAGAAAGGTAATTTATCTGTGAGTAACACAGGCTATATTATATACATTTTTTAATTTTACGTGGACAAAATCGCGAGCAACAGCTAGTTGTTTTTATTATACGTATAGTTAAAATGTAAATTTACACTCTATTAACATACCCTATCGGTCATATTTCAATAAAAACACTTAGCAAAACAAATATTTCCGTTATAAAGCGCCAGGGGGCGTTGTTGGTCAACTTCTCGCTAACAGCTTGCGTGTTATCAAATTGCTTGCGTTAATTGCGTCACAGTCACAGTGGGCGATGTCAATTTAATTGTGAGTTTACTGAATAAAAACAGTAAAAACAAGACTATCGACAGTGAAAACTTACGGTTATATTCGTATTGTTATAGTTTAAGTAACCTATTTGTTATTCCAGACTTTGTTTTATATCTGTACCTAATTTTAAATATGAAAAAAACAATATTAACGAATGGCACGGGAACCGTAACTATTTCCGGTATCAAAGTAGCCTATGTGTTATTCCAGACTATTCTCTACATCTATCCAAAATTTAATCGAGATCCGTTCAACAGTTTAGGCTACAATTTCTAACAAACTATCATCTATCTAAATTTTCGCATTTATAATATACTAGTTGTTGCTCGCGACTTCGTCCCCGAGACATTAAAAAATTATATAAAAAGGCAGCCTATTTTACTCATTGGTGAAAGAGTTTTGAATCCGACCAGTAGTTTTTAAGTTATTTCAATACATACAAAAATACAAATATTTCCTTTTTATAATACTAGTAGACAAGCTGTTACTCACGATCTTGTCTGCGTGAAATTAAAATAATGAAATATTTTCAAATAACCTATACTCAGTGAGAAAGCAGCTTTTGATTAGTGAAAGAATTTGAATCTATCCAGTAATTTTTTAGTTATTCATACAAAAACACGAATCTTTCCTCTTTATAATATTAGTGTAGAAATATACCTATAGTAACTAATACTAACTAGGAAGTAACAATCAAGCTGTACAAGACAAACTTGTATATTACGAGTATAGTTCACACTAACGATGTACAAACACTGCCAGTTTGAAATAGCAACGAATTTAAATTGACTACGTTTAACAAATGTTTTTTTTTAAAACGTGAGCATTCAACAGAGTCTGGATGTTTGTAAATTATATTTACTTTGTTTTAGTTTTTTAACATTTTTCAAATACTTATTAGTTTACTAGCATAGGCATTAACTTGTATCATGATTTGTATTTTTGGATTTTTGTATGTATTGAAATAATTCAAAAACCACTGGACCGATTTAAAAAAAAATCTTGTACCATTGAAAAGCTATATTATCTCTGAGTAACATTGGTAATGTTTTTAATATTTTTTTTATTTTCGCGCGACCGAAGTCGTCTATACTAATATTGTAAAGAGGAAATTTTATTTTTGTATGTATTCGATTCACGTAAAAACTACTGGACCGATTTTAAAAATTCTTTCAACATTAGAAACGTGATTTATCTGTGAGTAATATAGGCTACAATTTTTTTACAATTTATTTAATTTCACGTGGAAGAAGTCGCGAGCAATAGCTAGTGTGTTAATATTTTCAAAGACAATATATTTCCTGCAATCACGAAACATACTACGAATAAACGCGCGTAAAAAGATAGTATTAAATAAATATAATACGCTACTCATATAAGACCGGAGACATTATTCAAAATGTCTGTATTAACGTTTTATCCACAACATACGTCATTACTTACCTCTACAATCCTATCATTGACTTGTATCTTGCCGCAGAGGTCGGCCGCGCTGCCCGCACTCACACTCTTCACAAAGATACCGCTTAATTCCTCTGAAAACATTTGAACACTATCACTAGCTCACTATACATCCTCACTATGGGGCACAGAGCCTACCCCAAGTAAAGGATGACTATGCCTTAGTCAACCTGCACTGCAGGTTGACTTCACACATATCTTTGGATTTTTTCACCGATATGTGCAAACATCAAGATGTTTCCTTCACCGTAAGAACGTCGAGTAAATCATGTACATATAAATACGAAAATCTAAAATTTCATGCCAGGATTCGAACACAGGACCTGTAGATTACAAGTCAAGTGTTTAAACCCCTGTTAAAATCACAGCAAGTTAAAAAGAAATATTTATCTGTGTTCGTCAGTGTAAACTAGGACTCACCCTGCTCGCAGACGTAACCAGCGACGGTAATGCCTAGGCCAAGCGCGGAATGCTTGTTTAGCTGTACTTCGTAGCTGAGGGTCTCTGGCTCGCGGCCGCCGCGCACCGCCATGTCCAGTGGTAACCTGGTCACATAATATTGACCTAAGACAAGCAAGCATTATCTAGCAGGACTTTACGTGACGGAACACGAAAACATCAAGAAGATATAGGATCTTGCATCATATACTTCTATTTTTAGTCAGAGACCCTCTAAGTGATGTTAGCTCTTTGAGTAGCAGTTAATTTATTTATTTAATTTTTATTTAATTCACTTAAAGTGCAAAACAATCACAATACTCACTTAAAAAGATAAATAAATCCATTATTAAACGTTAAACAGTTGTCTATTTCTATGCAAAATATTCTACACCATTGGCAGACTTCGTTACAAACAAATCATGGAAGTTTGGAGCTCTCTGCAAAGACTTCCCCACTTCCCTTTACCTAGTTGACAGTAAAGCAAACAGATCGCGACGTAAAAGTTTCTCTCACAGTCGCCAATTTAAGACGAACTATTCTCATCTAACTTGTCCGCTCGCTGCGGCGTAGCAATTTTTGGCAACCCTAGTTTTTGAAATTGGAATTGGAACAACACGTGTTGTTTATAGTTTGAAATTGGAACAGGAAATGTAAGAAAATGTGGTCTTTTAAAAAAAAAAAACGAAATCCAAACAACGATAAAACAAAAGAAATATTAACGGCCAAAAATAAACAATTGAAAATATATTTGTATAACAAACAATTTTGGTTATTGTACTTTTTACGACAGTCTTGTATGAATTCTGAGCTAAGTAACTAAGCAAAATATCTAAATACATCTATGGGCAGAGGTTGCTTCGCTTTATAGACGAATTCAGGCAGCCACTTGCCACCTTATAATATAAACGACACTATTTTGGTCGTACCAATTATTACCGTTTGAACTTTATTACCA